GGCCGGCTGTTGTTGATAGCCTACATGTGGCGCTTCTGAGCAGTTGTGTATGTCTGTGCGTGTGTGAGCGCATCGGTGTGCGCTTATGTTTGGGTCGATGGCGGGGGGGGAGGCAATCACAACCTTGTTACGCCACTGGTCCCATCTCTTATCAAATTTGAAACTATCACTCATCAGATCCCAGGACTCTAACTCCTGATACTGAATGAGCAAATGAACTTCTAGTACTTTGCAATTGAATTATTCATCCAATGCAAATGGGTTGACCTTTTTAAAGATTAATGCTGTTTTTCATCTCGGTTCCATTTCTTCTACTCTAGGTCTTTTTGCACGAGAGATGTTGACCACCTGATACAATTAAACAGCCCTTACAACCTTCCTATCAATGCCATTCTATCGTAACAGATAGGTGGCAGGAGCGGATAAGCAATCACTCCTAAATTCTTCCCGTTAATATCTCCCTCTCCCCAAATCCCCCCTAACAGCAGCTGCTTCTCTCCGAACCCCTTCCTGATGGCAGTCTTCTGGCCGGGCATGACGGCATGCACGCACCTGCTCTCTCCAACCTCCAATCTATCTGTTCCTCTCCCGCCTTGCCTGCTGGCCATGACTGCTGGGATTAGCGTGTCTGTGATGGTGGATCAGTGAGAAGGAGGACGGCGGCCTTTTAGTCTGACATGCGTGTCCCGTGCCTCTCTGGTGGCTTTGAGTGTGTGCACAGCTGGCTGAGTCCTGTCTCTGAGGCACGTTCAGCTTGGAGGTGTGTGTGTTGTGTGAAAGAGCAACTGGAGGTGGAGACGACCATGATAAGCTTCCTCTGTTCAACTCATGAAAGATTTACAAGTTGGCTTTTGAACTAACTCACATGAGAAATAAATAAGCAACAAATGTGTCCCCAAGCTTTTATGAATAACAGTGCTTAATGATTACCTTTTCCTTTAAAAGAGCCTTGTTATGGTAATGTTCAGGTTCATATTTGTATTTTGTGTCTCTAGTGGGACATGTTTCCATACTTTAATGTTCAAAAAGTCTTATTTTCCTCATACTGCCTGTGCTGCAGCACCTCTTTTCACCCTCTGTCTGAAACCAGAGCCCAGTCTGCTCTGATTGGTTAGCTGGCCGGCTCTGTTGTGATTGGTTAACTGTCAATCACGTATGTGTTGGAGCACTAGCCAATAGAAGCACGAGTGTTACATAGTGATATCACTATGTAACATAAGTTAACATAGGAGTCCAATGGAGGAGTGGGATTTGGGATTTTAGCCGTTGCAGACCTTTTACATATACAAAAACCTATAACACACGACAGGAAGGGGAAACCCCAAAAATAATAATAGGGCCCCTTTAAAAGTTGTAAGATGGTCTATTGAGATCAAAATATTTTAGTTTTTTTGATGATGTTTTAATAGAAAACTTAGATTTCCTGTAATATTCCCATTTTTATGTCAAATGCTTCATTTGCAAATGGTACTGCTTCTTTAACTTTAACTTGATTATGTTTCAGCATAAGGTTTATATTCCTTTGTTTACGGCATTTTGACTTTCTCATAATAAGAAACGCACACGTGTTATTAACAGCATCTACATTGGCTCTGCTCAACTAAGTGTCACAGTAACGCATGACCAGATGAAACCGGCACCCTCAAACAGGAAAATGGAATTTAGCACCCATTGATTTTATGTGAACACCTGTGCTTGTGATACTGCAAAGTGTCACAACTTCTCTTTAAAAAGGTATGAGACCTCTTTTAGGCTTTGTGTGTGTGTGTGTGCATGTTATGTGGTTTCCCAAAATGTTCTCTGGCTCTGCGGTGATCACAGGTGTTCATTCCTCCGAGCCTGTCTGATGGATTAACAGCTGCCTTCACCGTGTAATCGCCGACACCCCCCAGATCTGACATTACCCACATCTTTCTGATGTGACAGCTGCACATACACACACACACACACTCATTTTACAATTTACACACACCAGAATTGTTATAAAATCCTGCGAGTGCCATTTGTTCCAACCTACACAAATGCACTCATGAAATTAGAGCTTTTTCTTATAAAGAATTAGCTAATAAAAAAAAAGCTGAAATACTGAAAAAAATAAACAGAGAGAAGGTTAGAGGTATACAAAACCCAGAGAAATAAGAGTGTGATATTTGTTTGATTTGAACATGCTGCTCTGCTACTGTCGTTATTATTCATATCCCTCCCCAGGGAGCCTTGTTTGAAAAATGGGACTATAGCAGCCCCCCCTCCATGTCACCGTCTCTCTCTCTTACACTCATAAACACCCACACACACACACACACACACACACACACTTGTTTGCCGTCTCCCTCCTCCCCCCCCTCATCTCCCTCCTTCACTCTTTCTCCCCAATAGAGTGATCCGGCTCGTCTCCTCTCTCCGTCACGCGGGTAATCAGCCTCTGCTATTTCATTTGGCTCAGTAATGAAAGCAATCCCAGTGCTTTTCACTGAGGCGCAGCCCAAATAATGAGGGGCTGCCTCACCCTCCCCAGCCACACCTCACCCCCAGTCCTCACCCTCTCTCTCTCTCTCTCCCCCAGCACTGCTGTCAGTGGATGAGGGAAAGCAAATGTGTGCATTTTTTGTGTGGAGCATGCAATCTTCCTGCCAAGTCCTTTGTGCCTCTTTTCTTCTTTCTGTGAGAGTCTAATGAGTCCATTGTATAACATGTCATCACTTCGACTCTAAATCTGAATTATTTTTGTTCTTATTTAAATGAGAGAAAAAGGATTTAGCTATTTTAAATAGTTTTTGGTTCATTTTTAGAGGCAAAAAGAAGAAAAAAATATACAGTTTTCACAATAAAACAAGAAAACGTCATACGCTAGTCTGTACATTTAAATATTTGTGTGTAGCAGTCGAGTTTAGTTTTTCATTATTTCCTCCCACGACTCATCACTAAACCCCTTTGGGAGGGTCCCAGCCCTCAGGGTGGGAAGTAGTGATCTACATAAAGATCTAAATGTAGAATCAACATTTAGAACAAATGAGATGCTTCAGCACAGTGGGTACATTAAACATCCTGTCCTTTTTTATGTGTGACAGAACATGGCAACAAAATAATAATTAATAAAACCTAGTCAACTCTGTAAAAAGAACGGATGATTTGAATAATTGTCTATCTCTCAGTTCCAATTGTCATAAATGTGTTTGAATTGGCTCTCTTCTAAAAACTGTTTTTGCCACACGATGCTGCAACCAGGCAGCAGACTTGGGATCCCATTCCAGATGGCACGCAACTCAAATACATCTCACCAAGCAGCATGTATTGACTTGGAGAGACGAGAACATCTGAGCTTGAATATGTAGGAAGTGTGAGAACGCGGCAGTCTCAAAGTTTTAGGGTTTGTTTTGAGAGGATTTAATCTCCTAGCTTCAGACTTAGCCTACAGCTTAGCTACCGAGCCTCAAGTCAATGAAAAGAAAAAGACAGCATTGAGATCTTTTTTTTTTTTCTTTAACAAACCTAGCAAGCAACCAACAAGAGATACAGGTCAACAAGGTCAACACAAGTACCGATACAACACAGCTTCTCTGTTGCTCACAAGTAACATGGAGAAAAGCTAATTCTCAACATACAGCAGCAGGACAGTGAAGAACAGAAGTTTGTGTCTTTGTGTAGAAAGCATCTGAAATATAACTGCTGTTAGTAAAAAACCTTATATAATTGAAAATAGCAGTTGTTTTGTGAATTGTCCAACATTTAACAACAGTGTTTGTATGAAGAGGGTTATCTTATACAATGTGATGATCCATATAAACATGAAAAATCTGCAAAATACGATTAGTGAGGTTTTCACCTAACAACAGCAATATCTTTTCCCAGTGTCAATGAGGTGTTTTTTTGTTGAACAGCAGTAATTAAATCCAACTCTCCTGCTGGTCTCCTGTAAACTAGGCCATCGGTACATCCAGAAAATACAGACTTTCTCCCAGCTCTGTTTACTTCCTCTGCATTTCAGTCAGCTATGTAAGAAATGTAAGAAAGAAAGGGAGGATTTCACATGTCCAGCAGCCGGCCCCCTCAGTTCAGTGAGAGATGAGAGAGAGAGGGGTTACAGCAAAGGTGGCCTAAAGTTCAGGTTTTGCATTTCATGTGAATCGATCTCCTCCGGATGTCAGAGACACTTGGCACGGGTACAACAGCAGTGGTGGGTGAGGGCATTTGCCCCCAGTGTGTTGAATCATCGAAAACTCCAACTAGCTTGGGACGATCCAGTCAAACATTCAAGGTGTACGTGTCCGATCACAATGGCGTCCAGGAGGAGCGTCAGAGCGTCTGCACGAGCACGGGGAACAGCAGGGACAGATGCTCGGCACCTCGGATGGGGAGTTTGTGCGTGGTGTAGAAGTGGATGACTTCTGGGATGGTGTCAAAGTGAGGGCTGTTCTGTCCCAGCACGTACTTGCCGTCTTTATACCGGGTGAACTTCATGTGCATGAAACCCTGGCAGCTCCTGTGGGGAGAAAACAGAAATAATGGTTTGAGAACGGGAGGAGACAAAAGAAGTGTGGGAGAGATTCAATATGAAAGTGAGAGAGGGGTGTGGGAGAGGATATTACATGTGGGGCACATAAAACCTCACGCAGCTGACACAGTGGAAATGACAACCAGGATTTATGTTCCCTTCTCGTTCCTGCTCTTTGAGGACTGGAATATAACCGAGATTTAACACCATGTCACAAATTAGGAAGGACAGGCTTTATGATGGATGAGCGGGTGGTGTAACAGCACTTGAAAGGAAAGACAAAGCCATTGGGAGTGAAAGAAAAAACGCTGGACTGTGAAAGTGGCTTAGCCAAGAAAACCATGCTGGTTCCTCCCCTTTAAATCCCAGGCAGCCATGACGGGACTTCTCCTTTAAGAGGCAGCCAGCCAGTCATGATGTATGTCTAATTATAGAAGCAGAGGGAAAGTCAAGGGCTGAAATCGGTCATCGTAATTGTCATTGTTCTAGTAAAACGAATTACATTTTGAAGAGCAGTGAAAGCCAGAAACCCCTATGAGACTACAACCAGCTGAACAACAGGCAGTTTATCTTCATCCCACTGGCCTCCAGAGTTAGAGTCTTCATCACGTCAGCGCTCATATAGTCCTGTTTGTTTCGTGGGACACTTTGTATCTTATGGTACATTAGAACCTGAGTCGGTGCTCTTCCATAAATATATTTATGTTGGTTTATATCTGTCTGTTTCACTGCTGACTCACTTTGGAGGTAATCTTGTCTCAATAAAACAGCCTTCCTCATTCCTCCCACTGTCCACATGACTCTGTTATCTTAGATGCTGTTGACTTTGTCCAAGGAGCAACCCAATGACAAAAGTCCACGAATGCTGCATTATTGAACAATATTGGTTGTTTTTACACAAGCTGTCCTTACTGAAGGGCACATAGACATTAAAACGTGTCAGTATCTAACAACACCAGAAGACCAGTCACAACACCTAGATAAAGACTAACCTACATGATGGGAAATGATCATTAACCCACTGAAGACAAGAAAGAAAATTCCTATTGATTATAACATGGGCCATATTATATGTTGTTTTGACTGCCGTTGTGACTGTATCGCCAAAACAATTGCTGATATCTGATAAAGAAAACAATTACACCTTTATCTGAACCATTGTGTTTAGAGGTGAGGGATTAAAGTGTCCACCTTTCACCTGGTAAAAAAAGGCTTTGCAAGGTGTTCAAATTACAATGACACACTTGTTGATTACACACACATGTTTCAGTCATAATCTTTGACATACAACAGAATACAAGTGACCCTGATGCATGAAACATCTGACACACAATTTTACTCGAGGGTATTGTAGTTCATTGGCATGTATTGACTACAAAAATGTTCAATGGACAAGGTGATAGGTACATTTAAAACATGCAGACTATTATACATGCAAGAAAACAAGTAATTGCACCAAAAATGCTGTTAAAATCTGCCATAGCACAAGAAAACTGTGAAAAGTCAGGAAGGGGAAAGCAGGTCAAAGCCTCTTAACTGTGATGGATGTTCATGAGTTTGGGTAATATTTGACATTTCGTCTTCTCTTGCAAATACCTTAAGCTGATCAGAAGCTTTGCTTGAAAGCTGTTAGATCATCAGACTGCTTGTTTCTTGACTTCTTCTTAGCATTGTGTTCTAGGATCTCAGCAACTAACTAAATGTATTTATAACTGATTAGAATGATGGCCAAGACTAAGAAAACAAAGGCTGTCTGAAACCAAAGTTTCCCTTTAAGCTGGTTAAATATCTACGCTGCTTTCACATTGTTTGACAATGTTCTTTGTTTTTGTTAAGTCTACTTCAATGAAGGACAGCAGCACATTTGAACCAAGCAAAATAAAATATTTTACATTTTCATAAGACATTAATCTGCTTCCAAAAACACAAATGCACCGGCTGGGGAACCAGTGCCAGTTGTGACCTTGTTGCTTGAGCAAACTTGCATGTGTGTGTGCATGTCTGTTTGTTTGTCTCTCTCTGTGTGTGTGTGTGTGTGTGCGTGCGTGCGTGCGTGCGTGCGTGCGTGCGTGCGTGTGTGTCAAACCCACTTTAGTCACATAAATGAGTAATGCATGAGCTTGTTTATATGTCAGCACAACACAGTGACACTCCGTGCCTCACCCCCCTCGCTTTCTCTCCTGGATTGGCTTCTTGTGTGGCCCACAGAAGGTAATTCATATTCATTAGTGATTACGGTGAGGATGATGTGTGCACTGAAGTGTGCTCTACCTGCCTGATTACCACTTAAGAGGGTCCACTGGGGCCAGGGAGGCTGGCCACCGAGAAGGGCCAAGGATGGGTTGAGGAGAGAGGGGTGATGGGAGCGCGGTGCACGGCCACGACGATGGATCGTGGTAGTAATTACAAGGGAGAGATTTGACCAGATAAGCACTATTGTGCTCTGGAAATTAGTATCGGGAGGGGAATCAGTGCGGCAGGGATCCTGAGGGGGGGTGATGTTGGAGGGAGGTAGACAGAGGAGGGTGAGACAGATGGAGAGGTGTGGAGACTGCGATATGAGATCGGAAGCTAAGCTGGCTTCACACACAGCACACACACTTCTTAGTCGCACGGAAGAAACATTAGCAGTGTGCAATTAAATTGTAATGCTGTTTGTCGGAGAACAATACTGGAGGTGGTTTATAGGTGTGTGTGTGTGTGTGTGTGTGTGTGTGTGTGTGTGTGTGTGTGTGTGTGTGTGTGTGTGTGTGTGTGTGTGTGTGTGTGTGTGTGTCTTACCGTAGGGAGAGGGAATACTCAGAGCGGTTATTCTCACTGTTCCTCACCAGGTAGCTACACTCTTTACACAGCGTTAGCAGCGACTCTGCCTCTGAGCGAGACAGTGCACCGTGGTACCACCTGATGAGACAAAACACACACACACACATTTAATTAATTTGATTCCACAACCTGATAATTATAGCAATATATCTCAAAATGAACTGCCAATCATCATGTTTACAATGATGATACAGGAAGTAATTATAAGTGAGATGAATGTTTCCAAAGATTCATATTTAACGTAAAAAAAAAAAAAGAACACAAATTCTCTATTTTCAGGGCAAAATTCTCAGAAACACCAGCAACACTGTGGCAGAGTTCGTCTTTCCAGCACATGGTCTAGTGGTGCTTTGAGCTAAATGCTCACAACAGTACGCTAACATGCCCACAATGACAAAATGATGCTCACATGCAAAGGTTAAGGAGGAATATTGTAAGCATGCTAACATTTGCTAAACAGCAGTAAAAAAAACAGTGTAACTAATGTAGAAATGTCATTAGCAAATGTCATGGCAATCTTGTCCATACTGGTTGAGATGTTTCCCTCAAAACTACAAATGTTGACCTTTCATTGGTGCTCAAGGAAAGATCAGAGCATCAAGAGAGTATGTTTTTAATTGATTTCATTTAAATCAATCCAGTAATGTTGCCATCCATAGCACTATGCCCCCTGTGTGGCTAATACAGGATTCCAAAAACAATATACAAATCTAGAAAGGACAACACAACCTTGAAGTCGCAAATATAAACTTTTCCTGTCTAATAATAAGGTTCCCTCGACATGGCTGAATGCTACAGGTCCACAGTGATACTCTTTCTCTGTTTGAAGCCGAACTGAAGGAAACACGGAGCACAAAGCCTTGAAGAGATAATCAGTGAGTAATGGGGCGTAATAATCAACTATCACCCTGAAGCAAATGTGTGCGCAAGTTAGTGTTTGTTAATTCAACAATGTGTGTCATGTGTGTGTGCATGTGTGCTTAAGGGGTGTCATGTGATTGGATTTCATTAGTAAAATGGCCCTTTATGTGCACAGAAACAACAAATAAATCACACCAATGATGTCTGAAATTACAAGACTAGGGTAAATGTGTGTTTTTAATGGTCTGACTTAATTAGTTCTCATTCTAACCTTTTCGCACTTCTGTGAGCTCTGATGAGTGCTGCTTAGCCGAAACACATACCCGCTGCGTGTTAATATGTCCACGCCCTTAATAGATCAAAGGGGTGCAATGTAATGGAGTTTAGGATTTGTTTGTCGGATGTACAAACGTGTGCTTCCTCAAATGTTTTAAATCACGGTTATAACAATGAATGATAAATGCATGAGAGCCCCTGCAGAGACATTTACATGTTCAGCTCAGAGACAATAATTTATGCTAATTACATTTACATGCGCAACTAATTGCATAATTTAGATTTGTTTCATGCGTGTAAACATCAAATCTCAGCCATAAAAGGCATGATTTAATCCTATATTTCTGCAACGTAAACATCTAATTCCCTACTGTCCTTTAGTTGTAACTTTTCAATATTGCACAGCATTGTGGGTACAGCTGATGTGAGCTATACTACAACTACTACTTTAAGACAACTCCTTTATCCTGTGTTATATCCAATGTAATTAAATGAAGACCCTTAATCATTAGCTATCAGAAGTCCCAAGCATGTAAGCCTCCTAACAACCGGAGTGTTGTCTATACTCCGACACAGAGCGACTGAAGTATTATAATGAAGTTCCTGTGGGGTTAACAGAAGACTGCATACATACACCTGCTTCTCCAGAGGCAGCGTGGCGTCCACTCTCTCCCCCACCAGGGTGAGGCATTCCTGGGGCGACCGAAACTTCATCCCCCCTCCTGCCAGCGGGCTGGACCTGGGGCCCGGAGGACGAAGCCGATCCGTGGGCGACGAGGAGCGGTCCCAATCTGCGCCGTCAAACTGCACTGTGGGCAGAAAAGTGAGTCAGAGCGTTTACACAGTGCTGTGATCAAAAGGGATTAAACCTCACAGCCAGAGTTGGGTAAACATCAGACATCCGGCTATTTCAAAACCAGGCATGCCGGAGGGAGAGGGGTCAGACTAAAGACAGGAGATCCCGGTTTGCAAAACTATCATCACAATAACCATTATCAACATTTTTATGAGTCACACAGGGCAGATAGAGACAGGAAGTTGGTGTGTTCCCTGCTCGGCTCTGCTCTTTCTTCCAAAAGTTTACACTGCAGATAACTTTATGTTGACAATACTGATTCTATTCTATTCTCTTCAGATCAAGAGCCAGAGCTACTAAGCTCTCTTTCTTTGGAACCAACTTCCTGTTTTCATTAGGGGAGGCAGACCGTGTCCAAACTTTTAAGAGTGTGCTGAAGACTTTGTTTTAAAAGCTGGTTTAAGATTACCCCAAGTTTTTCCTACTGTTCTTTTTTTTTTAATTGTCTTTTTGTTTTACATTTTAATTTGTATTTTACATTCTATCTTGCCTTTTTATTATTTTCTTGTAATTGTATTTATCTTGTAGCACTGTCATTCGGGTTCTATAAAGCCCACTGAGACAAAAGTGTTTTGTGATATTGGGCTGTATAAATAAACTTTGATTTGATTCTGGAGCAAATTATGTAAACAGACTGTTTTATTTACCCCTTCTGTGCAGAACCTTGGCAAAATTCAATCTACAGAACTTGTAATTAAACAATAATTGTAGCACAGCGCTTCTAAAAACCTTGAAATGAACACAGCAGGCTTCTTAATTTACACAAAGCTTTTCATGCGTGGATGATGCTGGAGGGGAATGTGGTAAGAAAAGCACTTTAAACCCAAAATAAGCAACAGGCAGGTGGTGCAGATGCGCCTGCAGGGGGGTTAGGGTGGAGGTAGAGCAGATGTAGAACAACAGCATGGGTCATGGAGGTCAGGGTGACTGTATGTGTGGAGATAAGGCGAGGCAGGGATGGGGGGAGGGTTGTTTTCAGGGTGGGAGGTCACCTTGCTCTCTGGCGGTGGGCTCCTCCTCCAGATGACCCACCGGCGCGGGCCAGGGCAACTCGGACAAATCCCTCATTTCTAATAGAGGAGATGGGAGATGGCGAGAGAAAAAGCGTCAGAGTGAGAAAACAGCAGATGGGCTACATCAAAGTGAACTAAAGGAAGATGTGGGAGAGAAGTGGTGAAGAAATCAGGTGCACGATCTAAATGTGAGCAGGAGAGAGAAGTGAGATGTGGAAGGGGGTTGAGAGTGTGCGAGGGAATGGCAGATGTTGGGTCGTGAGATGTTATTAACGCTACCTCCTGTCATAAAGAGAAGTAATATACTCTCAGATTCTATATTTGCAATAATGTATCATGAGTGATAAGAGAGGACAGGGGAAGTCAGAGGCTGCATTATTTATAGTCACTTGAACGAATCCACTTTGAGAAACTGTGCATCCCACAGTGCGGTGTGACAGAGGAGGTGAGGAGCATGTGGGCAGAAGACCGTCCTACCTACAGTAGGAGAGCACAGAAGGTGCACAGAAACTGAAAATAGCTCATTATCTACCATAGCAGGCAAGCATCTACTTTAACAGTCATTACTGCAGCCTCACACACACACACACACATTATGCCAGTTTCACACCGTACGTTCAGCTCCTGCTCACGGCGCAAGCGGATTACAAAACAAATAAAAGGGAAAGAGGGGTGACATCTTAATGAGCCGGCAAATCCAAAGACCCTCAAGGCCTCCGACATCAAAGGGCCATTTGAATGGGTGTTTGAGAGGGACCCAGGCTGTACATACATGCCTCACTCCCTCCCTGGTTAATTATTGAGCAGGCAGACACACTCCGCCACTTTCTCTGGCTCTCTGTGAATTATTGATGCATGGCGCAGCACAATGGCCCCATCTGGAGTGGGCCGCACCTCCGCTAAAGCCAGGATGAAAGTGTGGCCTGGCACCCCTGAATGGGAGGACATGCAGGAACACACACACACACAGACCTGACACTCAGAAACACCTCCGCTGCCACACTCTGCAGCCTATCCCCCTCACCACCACCACATCACATTTCACACCTGTAATTCTCGAGTAGAACTGAGAGAGAGGCAAAAGAGAGAAGGGTGTACATGCGAAGCACACAAAAGCAAGTGAAGAGTAACAAGCGGGAATGGAGAAAGCCAAGACAATTTATTACGGATCAGAAATGTGCTCAGCCATCAAAGAGAGAGATAGGCTCAGGTGGTGGTGTTTCACAGAAGGAAGGACGGGAAAGGACTCTTCTTCCTTTTTTGATTTTTCATTGGCTGTGGTCTCTTAACCACTAATGTCCACTGCTCTGGAATCCTAAAATGTGTTTTTCCTCACTTAAATTGAAAGTGGTGATGAGATGAATTGTTTCCACTGTCTTATCCACATCGTTGATTTTGGCTTTGGACATGGCCGTTAAAGCATTTTCTTGTTTTTCTGGCATCCATTTTTTATTATCTTGGTCAACTCACAATAAATGGAATAGACAGATCACTCATCTACGCACGCTCTTAAAGCCCGGCCTTTTGGCACAGGGTATAAATGGTTATCTTGTCAAAGCATCATTCATCCCAGCATTTAACCTCCAGCTAAAACACTAGTGAAAAGAGAACCAGTAGATGAGAGCATCCTAAAGTCCAGGATCCAAACCTTAGTGCATCTCAACTAAGAAGAGAAAACACCACAAAGTAAAATGAAATAAATAAACAAAACTAAATAGAGAATTCAAATAATTAAAAACATGAGAGCTTTTTGTGTCCATGTTGTAACACTTAAGGTACCTAAGAGTCAGTTTTAAGAGTGGCAAAAGGATGAACATGCAAACACACACACACACACACTGTCACACACACACACACACACACACACACACACACACACACACACACACACACACACACACACACACACACACACACACACGACACACACACTACTACTACTACTACTACACGACACACACACACGACACACACTACACACACACACACACACACACACACGACACACACACACACACACACACACACACACACACTACACGACTACACACGTACACACG